ACATTATAATAATAATAATATAAATAGGCCATTGCCAACCGGCGATCGAACCCCAAGGCTAGCTCAAAACTGCTAAACCTCTCTGTCTCCTCTCCCATGTGATTTACTGCTAAAACCCTCTCGATTCTTGTGCTCTTTGAATGTAGAATTCTTAACTTTGACTTTTGTGTTAATTCCATTTCTTTATTAAATTTGTATAAGTGCTACTATTTGTTATTGTTTATGTTTATGTTTATGTTTATGCTGCTCTGCTCTGCAATCAAACTTGCTTAAATATGATATGAGGTTTGTATAAGTCAGTGTTTGAGGCTGCAGCTTGCACAAACTCCAACACCCTATTGGAATTTGTAATAGTATCTTCATAAGATATTCTGNGCAGTTGAACCATAGGATCTGACCTCCAAGATCAATGACCAGATGCGGATAGATTAGAGGTGTTCCTATGTCGATTGTAGTGTAGTACTGAAGTGTGACATTATCTTTCCTAATAGGGAGTATAAAAGCGCGAGGTTTATCTTCTGCTGAATCAATGGAGCGTATAATGAAGGCAAAGGGAAAAGATAAGAGAAAGAGATTGAAGAAAGAAGCCATTGATGTATAGGACAAGTGAAAGAGGGAGTGAGTGGAGTCGAGATGAAATCAGCTCCTTTTATAAGCGATGATGATGTTGCTAAGAGATCTAATCCATAGACATTGACCGTTGGATCTCTCCTATAGTCAACTAACTTGACCCTTAGATCTGATCTAGTCGCCAAACTTGACTATTCTATATATATATATATATATATACACACACTATTCAGAAAGGATGGATTGGAAGAGTGAGGCTATACATATATTATTTCAAGAAGCTGATTTATTAAGTGTAATGTTGTTGTTATTTATATTGTGCATTCATATGGAGTGTGCAATTAAAAATTGAATATATACTTCAACTTGTTTCTTAAACGAACATTGTTAATTGTGGTAAGCAACAATCCTGCGTTGAATCACATGCGATGTATCATTCCACTTCAACCTTTTTTTGATAATAATGCTGAGATGCTAAAAGAAAACAATGGATAATATATTCAAGTCATGATGAAGTTGGAACGTGATAATTGGCTGTCATTTTAATAAAAAAAAATGTCGTATTAATATTAAATCCAAAGTTAACAGCAAAAAGGCAACAACTTATCCAAAATATTTTTAAATGATTCTATTAATTAACTAAGTGTTAAAGATATAGTAGGTCATGAGGGAAGGACTGACATTTACCAATTTCAGAAACAATACGCCCATCATTTCAAACTATGAAGCCTGAGCACTAATTTTACCATATTGGGTAGTAAATTAAATAATTTAATAATGCATAAATAATTATATATTTGCTCACCATCCATCTTTATTGACCGTCAAACATGTTTGACATTATATTATTGTAATGTTATTATAAAATTCTCGATAATGTAATGAAATAAACACAAATAAATCACAGGGTAACATTTGAAACCTTTTCAGGGTAGGACATCAAGAGCTTTAACACCAACTTCTTACAAATAATTAAAATGGTAAAGACTTTTTCCCACCTAAATAATTGTTTAATGATACTTTTTCACCCAAGATTTTTTAAATACCACTTTTTTACCCAAATGTTTTATTGCATTAGTAATTTTCAGTTAAATACAATAATATTCGTCGTAAAAACGAGAATACCTACAACCGTTAATTATTGGTTTATTGCACATATGCGGTGGACAGCAACTGGCAAGCAATTCAGGTTGGGAGTGATAAGGGCTTAGTAGGGGGGACAACGGTGGTGCAATAGGTGGTGACAAGAGGGATTTCCGATGAGTAATTTTGTCGGAATTGAAGAAAATCGCAAAAAAACCTAGGGAGGAGGTGGCGGCGATTGGAGTTCGATTAGGGTGGGGGAGTGTGGGGCTTTTGAAGGAGAGAAGCTGGTGAGTCAAGGGGTGGAGGTGGGAGGGGGTGTCACTGTCGGATTTCACTAAAATTTGGCAACGGACAGTCGTGGTACATGACTGTTGTGGTTGGCAAAGGGCGACTGCTGGCAGGGGAAAAATGGTGGGGTTTTGTTGCTGGGGTGGTGGGGAATGTTGTGGTGGTGGTCGGAGGGCTCAACAGCATCAGATTCAAACCAAAATGGCCTAAAAACGGCATGGTGGGTGTGGGTCATGGGAAGTTGGGTATTTTTTATTGTTAAACCCTAAACCCAAAATGTTAGTCTTATATTCAATGACTCATTAATGAGTGGTTGTATCCCTCTTATCTATAAATAAAGCCTTTTACCTTCTCGGGAGGAGGAGGAACTTTGTAAAAATTTTGTTTATTTCTCTCACTTTTCTCTTCCATATTTTATCTACACTTCCATATTTTCTCTACACATCTTTACCATAATTCTTCCATGTTTCTTTCATATTTCTAACTTTCCTTCAACCTCAAGGATGTTTTAATATTCTGATAATGTTACGGATAGCAAAAGATCTCATATATATTTTTAATTTATGTTCTTTAACATGTTTAATATATATGTTTTCATTTATGTCCTTGTTCTTTATTTTTGTATATGTTCTTCATTTATGTTATTCTTTAATATTCACTAGCCCTTTTAGATGATGTTAGAAGCTGTGTGGGTATATGTGTGTGTTAGATAAAAGGAGGGCCTTGACCATTTTTTTGACCGATCGTTGTGTTGATTGGTTTCACTTAGGTCGGCTATCATAGTTTCCTACATGCATAAACTCTACGATTTTCTGACAGCATCTCTAAGGTCTAAAAATATATTATTGTATTTCTCCAATGAATGCAGTCGGTGTTGCATTATTGCAAACTTTAATTAATTTATAGATTCTGAGCATATGTTAATTGATGTATGCAAGCTATGAAGATTATTCGTTTAAACTACACCCAAGATGGAATGCTTCTTCGTAAAAGCATAGCCTTATGTCCACATGATATAATTGTTCCATATTTATATTATGAAAATCATGCGTACAAACACAGAGGGTGATTATCATGGGCAGACCAGATGAGTTGGGTTTGAAAGGTCAAACTTTTGAACCTTATCAATCTATTGTTGGTAAGGTTTAAATTAAAGGAAAATAATACAGTTATCGAAAGGAGCACACCGAATTCATGCACCGAATGACATGGGATTAATTATGAATTAATATTAATCGACAGTCAGGATTGCGCTACGTTATTTGATGCATGAATTCGGTGTGCTCCTTTCGATAATTGTAACATTACTCTAAATTAAATGGAAAGGCAATCTTCACCCATACTTAAGATATTGTTATTTCTCTTCCTTCGTTTGACCATCTAAATACTTAAAAATATTTAATTAAGCACATGCGAATCAATCGATTTTATGATCAACCGGTCAAATTCATTCCACAAGTTGTTTCAATTATTTATGATTAATTATCACATGAATTTGTTATTATAATAAGGGTACGATTGATTCAGAGAACGTTATATTAATAAGAAGATATATTACTTTGACGATTACTATAAATGTTTAGGGGAATGTGTTTGATTATGTTAGAATAAATTGGTGAGTATGTTATATTTGTATGTTTGGTTGGGAGGAATAAATTGGTGGGTATGTTATATAGATTACTGAATTGCCCTTCTATTTTAATAATATTATTGTATTATTATTATTATTATTATAGATTTTTTTAACCCCCCTGTATTTGTTAATTTAGCTAAACACCCTCACAATAAAAGTTAAAAACTAATTAAAGCACCCCGGCCACCCAAGAGAGAGCCGGCAGTCGGCATTCGTCAGAACGGCACACGAGCGGCTGGATCTAGCCGATGGTGCACTGATATGGCCGTTTTCGACTAGATCCACCGGCCAGATCTATGGCCAGATATCGAGCCATTGACAATCAAATTCTGGCCGTTGTTAACGGTCAAATCTAGGTCGTCAACGACCAAATCTCTGGCTGTACGTCTGGCTAGATTTAGCAGACGTCCAGTCGGTTGTGCGTTGTTTCGATCACGTCGACCGATGATAGCGGTGGTGTTCGGCGACGGTGATTGCTGCCGGGTGGTGGTGGTCTTGGGTGGCTTGCAATTTGTTTTAAATACAAGGGCATTACTATCCAAAAGCTTAATTAATCAGGGGTAAAATTGTAATGACAGGTTCATGTAAATTAATTTAAAAAAAAAGGGATGAAGGGAGTTTTTGTCCAAAAAATTTAATAAGGGGTAAAATTGTAACAAAATTAACATTATCAAGTAATTTTAAAATACCTAAGAAAATGAAAATAATAAGATTACTACATATATAACTAACAGTAATTACTATTGGTTTTGGAAGATTACTGAAATCTTATATTACTTGACAACAAAACGTGGTAATCTAAGTAATATAAGATGATATTACTCAATAATGGGGGATAACCCCCAACTAAACGCCCTCTAAGTATAATCCTTGAATGTATTCGGTGTCGCATGTGCAGCAATTTTGTGTTTTATTATTCAATTTTGTATTTATTTAATACAATTAGAGATGCTTTTCACTTATTAAGTAGTTTAAACTATTCCTCAGAATTTGGGAATAAAGCTGGTTGTTAATTGTATTACTTAAAAAAGCATGGCTTTAAATTGAATTAATTCTTCGGGCCTGATGGTTTTATTGCTAAAATCTTTAAGGAGGCTTGGGATATTGTTGGCTATGATGTCAATGTGGCTATGATTAATTTCTTTGGATGTGGCAGACTTCTCAAAGAGGTTAATGCTACTATTATTGCCTTAGTGCCCAAATTAGATGTTCCATTATTTGGCAATGACTTCCGACAGATCTTCTGTTGTAATGTTGTGTACAAATGTATCTCTAAAATCCTTGCCAAGGATTAAGGTTAAGCCCCACATCGTTATTCTGATACTCTAAGGTATGAAATTCTACTCTTAGGGGGCGTTTGTATCATATAATGTTTTATTATAGAGGAATATTATATTAATGGAAAGAAAGATCACCTTGAAGATTATGTTTGGGGCGTGCTCACGGGATTGATTATGAGCGGGGTTTTGATAAGCAACGTGGACGCATCTTTGTTGTAAGGAGGCATGTAGTAAGGACCACCACCAATGAAAATGTCACCAAGTCCGTCCTCACTTGAAGAGGGAAGACAAAGAGCAAACTTATTCTGAATCTTATAAGCCGAAGAGAGCTGCGTTTGAAGAGCAACTTGAGTTCTTGCAAGGCCAATCATTCCTTGGGTACCATTTGAAAGGCCCTGTAACTGGTCGTTAAATCCACAAGCGAAAAGTAAGCGTGGGACATATATATGAGACAAGTAAAACCTGCCATCGGTTTCATATATTGCCACAGTATCTTCGCCTAGCCCGCCTGCGTAAAGCAAGTTGCTAAATGGATTATATGGAGAGACTCCACAAGTGTTGTTGGTACATCCTGGCCTGGGGGTTCCATTGCAACCCACGCAACCACTTCCCTTTGCGACCTTACATTTGGAGGAGCCACAACGAACTGGACGATATGTTGATGAATTGAAGCCATTCTTGCAGTTGAACCATAGGATCTGACCTCCAAGATCAATGACCAGATCCGGATAGGTTAGAGGTGTTCCTGTGTCGACTGTAGTGTAGTATTGAAGTGTGACATTATATTTCCTAATAGCGAGTATAAAAGCACGAGGTTTAACTTCTGCTGAATCAATGGAGCGTATAATAAGGCAAAGGCAAAAGATAAGAGAAAGAGATAGAAGAAAGAAGCCATTGATGAGCTGCTCTGGTGAAAGAGGGAGCGAGTGGAGTTGATCCTTAGATCTGATATAGTGGTCATACCATATATGTATATGGAAAATAATAGAGATACCGGGAGTAGTGCACCGAATGGGTGGACCGAATGACGTGGTGTAATCATGATCGTCTATTAATTATAACTTAATATTAATCAACGGTCAGGATTTTGCCACATCATTCGGTGCACAGATTTGGTGCACTACTCTCGGTGACTGTAGCATTACTCAATATATATACTAGTCAAGTTTGAGGGTTTTGTTTAGAGTAAATGACTTTTTTCCACTCAAATAATGGCTTAATGACACTTTCTTACCCACTAAGTTTTAAAATAACATTTTATTATCCAAATTTATATTCCGTTTCCGATTCTGGTATTGTTGCGACTCCATACCATCACCATTTTCTTCCTCAATCATTACTCACTAAAACAACTCAAACCCGACTCCCGTCGACTCACCAATCATCAGCAATCGAGTGATTAGGGTTTTCGTAACTACTCTTTTCAAATTAAATTCTGATCAATCCCAACCATCAAAATCTAACCTTTTACCACTAAAATACTCATTAGCATCCCCTCTTTAAAAGTCCTAAGAGCATTGATTGAGTTTGCTCTCTGTTTATTGTTGAAATATAAATTTGATCAATAAAATAATATTTTAAAAGTCAATAAGTAAAAAAGTATCATTAAACTATTATTTAAATGAAAAAAAGTCATTAACTCGTTTTGTTTATATATTATAGAAAGGATGGATTGGAACAGTGAGGCTATATATTAATTCAAGTAGACATTAATTGTAACGCGAAAAACATTGTGCCGCACTCAACGCCGTTTGACTGTAACATTGTTGTTAGATTGGGCACTGATATAATGGAGTGTGCAATTAAAAATTCAATATATGCTTCAAGTTGCACATAAAAGTATTTCTTAAACAAACATTGATAATTGTGCTAAGCAACAATTAGCGTTGAATCACATGTGATGTGTCATTCCATTTTGAACTTTTTTGACTTTTTGATTTGCTAAAAGAAAACAAGGATAATAATAAGCATGAACACAGGCAGCGGTTAGAACCGGAATTTGCAAGTAGAATCTGAATCTGAATCAAAATCTACTCAGAATTGATATTGTGTAGATAGGTTTTGATTCTATTTTTTTTTTGAACCAACACTATACGATTCTGATTCCAGTTCCTACATGTGGAGGAACCGAAATCAGAATCTAGGAAAAGAATTTGATAATATGATTACTTAATTAATTCTAAAATTACATAGTTGAATGATTACTTAATTAATTATAAATTTATAACATTACATTATAAACATTTGTAATTTATTACATTAATACATTACTTAATAAAATGATTAGAAATTTAATTAATTATTACATTACATTATAGATTTATAGTATGATTACTTAATTAATTATAATATTACGTTATAAACATTAGTACAATATTTAATTAAATGATTAGAAATTTAGTACATAATTTATGAGTCACATTGGACACAAATGAATGAGTAATCAAAAGTTGAAAACTACTAAATGTAGGTTTTCTTAATTTATTAGGGGTGTAGTTGAAACTTTTAAGGTATTTTTGTCATTTTTAAACTAATAGGGGGCAATTAAATTTTTACAGGATACCCGAGTAAGGAAATAGAACCTGTATTTCAGGTTCCGGTGCCTTGAATTTAAGAACCGGAACTGACAGGTCCCTTTTTCCCACGCAAGGTTTGCCTTAATAATATTTCTCAACAAAAAGTTTCAAAATACCACTTTTCCACTCAAAGTTAATATTTCATTATTACCAAAATCGATTATGACCGATTTTAACACCGAAAACTCTCTCTGTCACCAACATTTGAACCTTCAATTTCCTCTCTACAAACCTTTCTCACTCCGACAGATGATTTCTTGCGATTGTTGACCACCGCAAAGCTAAGGGTTTTTCTGTTCTTAGTTGATTTATGATTGACTCTGATGACGAAATATTTAATCGGTCACCACCATTCAATCCACCAGCCTCCACTCTATAAAAGTCTTCTTACCCTGACTTTTGGTAACTTGTCTAACATTAGCTGAGAAAGTGAAATATATTTTGGATATTAACTGAATATAAACTTTGGGTGGGAAAATGATATTTTGAAAGTTTTTGGTTGTGTCATAAGGCAAACCACCGAGTGGGAAAAAGTCGATTACTCTATATTCAAGTCATGAAGTTGCAACGTGATAATTGGCTGTCATTTTAAATAATAATAATAATAATAATAATAATAATAATAATAATAATTGTAGATGCAAAAAATCTACCGTCATGAAAATAGGGTGTGATCCCGTGAGGTGACAATCCGTTAGACCTGCACACATGAAAGGGCAAGCGTGAAGCTTCCGGAAAACACCGAGGTGGTGTTTGCCGTAGGTACTCCGACGCTCAAGTCAGCAAGGCTGAAAGAGATTTAATAAGAATTAAGGAGAAGAAGAATTATCAGGAGTCTTGTCGGAGGCTAGGACTACGACGGAGGCGTCGGGTTCTTGGGAGCAAGAACTTAGGAGCAAATAGATGGTTTTGAATAGTGTAGATTGACTGTGGGAGATTCCCCCTAATGAGAGGGTAAGCCTCTGTTTTTATAGTAAACCCAAGGGGTTGGAGTCCTAGTAGGACACTGAGTCCTCTTTTTTGGGAGATAATCCCTATCAAGAAAGAAATATGATTTCTTCACCTTATTAGATTAAGTTTAATAGTTTAAATAAGATTTGAAATCTTAGTAGGATATTAAGTCCTATTGTGGGAGATAATCCCTATCATAAAAAAGATAAGATTTCTTGAACTTATCATATTAAGTTTAATAGTTTGAGTAAGATTTGGAATCTTAGTAGAAGAGGAAATAGAATGGGATTCTGATTTCCTATTTATAGACTATTGCAGGCTAATGGGCTGAAACCCAGTTTAGCTTAACTTACAGGATAGCCCAACTCATAGAGTGGGTAGGTCGCAAGGTGATTTTAAGCGTAAGCCCAATCGGGATTGAGTTGAGGCTTTGGGTCGTGACATGTTTGTTTCGTTATTGGGCCTCGTCAAGCCCAAGACGATTTTTGGCCCTAACAATAATAATAATAATAATAATTAATATGTGTTTATTCAAGTCGATTACTCTATATCTTTGCTCACCTAAGTAAGACGTCACCACCTATTTTCATTGACTGTCAATCATTTTTGACGTTATATTATTAAGAGCAATTCTATAGTTCCCGAAAAAGTATATCGAATTCATGTACCAAATAAACGTGGCACCATCCGCTTTTTTTAAAAACAAAATTCATAATTAATCAACGGTCATGATGGTGTGACGTCTATCGGTGCATGAATTCGATATCCCTTTTTCGGTAAATGTATCTGCGATGATGTGGCTTCTCATTTGCCACGATGGAAGTCAACTTTCTTTGTTAAAAGTCAAACACATATTGCGACGTCGTTTTGATCAAACCTAATGAGTTATCTGTTAGGCTATCACACTTTTACGCAGACTTCACCTCTCTCTTTTCTGTTTTGGTTCAACAGCTCTTAAACCTAAGAAAGTTCCATAATCGATTTCATCTTATGGTTATAGAGGAATCAAAGACAAGTGGATGATGATCTAAGAAGGGAGCATGTGTATTTAACACATGCTGATGCTGAAGGAATGTGCAGATTTCAAATTGAAGAAAACCTAGGATTTTTCAGATTTGGGTGTGTTCTTTCCTTATTGTAATCTTTCAAGTTCTGATCTGATCTTTTCTTTATACTATCTTGATTGATAATGGAATGCCCTATTGTGAGCCTTGGAGAGTGGATGTAGGCTGCAAAGTCGAACCACTATAATTTATGTGTCTTGTTTATGCTTGATTCATTCTTTATCTTCATTTGTTACATCTCTTATTGCTGAGTTGATAAACATTTCACTTCTAGTTTAGGATTAAGTAAACCCTAGAAATCTAAGAAATTGGTATCAGAGCCTGATTGAAGGTCCAGTTAGGGTTTCACTGGTTTAATCATGCCTAAATACAGTGTTTAGGTTTTCTTAAACCGATTACTTTTCTATTGCTGTATGTTTTTTGAATCTGTGAGAAAAACATGTCAACTAAGTTTGAGCTTGAAAAGTTTACAGGGAAAATGATTTTGGATTATGGAAAATGAAGATGGAGGCAGTATTGGTTAAAGAAGGCTTGGCTTTAGCTCTGAAGGGAGAAGAAGAGTTACCTAATACATTAACCACCACAGAAAAGCAAGACATGCTGAACAAGGCCAAAAGCTCACTGATCCTCGGCTTGGGTGACAAAGTGCTTTGAGAAGTCACGAAAGAAAAGACTGCTGCAGAGATATGGAATAGGTTAGACTCACTTTATCAGTCAAAGACTATTCCTAATCGGTTATTTCTAAAACAGAGCTTATTTGGGTTTAAGATGGATGAACAAAAATCACTAAAAGATAATAAGAATGATTTTCTTAAGATTATACAAGATTTAGAGAGTATTTCAATTGAAATTGGTGATGAGGATCAAGCTGTGATTCTATTGAATTCATTACCCAAAACCTACTCGAACTTTGTAGAGACTTTGAAATATGGTAGGCAGACTCTGAAGTTAGAAGAAGTGGTAGAAGCTATCTTAGCTAAGTACACTGAAAATAGGATTAGGGAAAGAAATGTGAGTGATGGTGAGGGTCTTATAGTCAGAGGAAGATCTAAGAAGAAGAACTGGAAAAAGGGAGGGCAAAATAGACATAGGCCTAAATCTAAAACTGGGAAATGGAAGTGTTTCTTCTGTCATAAGGAGGGCCACCTTAGGAGAGACTGTCCTAAGAGAAAGAAAAAGAAATATGAGAAAGAGGATGATGGAGGTAGTGCAGGGGTAGTGTCAGAGGGTTATAAGAGTTTAGAGGTCCTAATTATTTCAGAAGGCAAGACTAGTGATGAGTGGATTTTAGACACTGGTTGCACCTATCATATGACACCTAATAGAGAGTGGTTTAGGTCGTTTCAACCCTTAAATGATGGGAAAGTGATGATGGGAAATAATGTTGTCTATCATATTAAGGGAATAGGATCTGTTAAACTGAATCTTCATAGTGGATTAACTAAGACCCTTACTGATGTTAGGTATATCCCTAACCTAAAAAGAAATCTTATCTCTCTTGGAACATTAGACTCTATAGCTCTAAGTTATAAGGCTGCTAATAGGAGTCTTAGTGTTTTGAAAGGGTCTTTGGTTGTTATGAAGGCTGAAAAAAGGAATGGTCTGTATGTGCTAAAAGGTAGGACTGATAGTAGAGTGGCTAATATTGGGTCAACTGAGGAACCAGATAAAACTATCTTGTGGCACTAAAGACTTGGCCATGTCAATGAAAAAGGTTTAGGAGAACTTAGTAAACAAAACCTACTATATGGGGATAAAAAAGGGAACCTGAATTTTTGTGAACACTGTGTATTTGGAAAAATGAGCAGAGTAAAATTTGGGAGAGTATGTGCATTCTGATATATGGGGACCATCTAGGAATTATTCACTTAGAGGATATAGATACTTTATGAGTCTTGTAGATGACTACTCTAGGTATGTTTGGATTTATTTTCTTAAAGCCAAGGATGAAGCTTTTCCTAGATTTAGGGAATGGAAAACCATGGTTGAAAATCAAAGTGGAAAGAAACTGAAGAAGTTGAGAACTGATAATGGTTTGGAATTCGTTAATGAGGAGTTCAATAACTACTGTAGAGTAAATGGGATAGTTAGACATAAGATAGTGAGACACAATCCACAACATAATGGTCTCTGTGAAATGATGAATAGAACTATTCTAGAAAAGGTAAGAAGC